CGCGGGCCCCGGCCCCCGCCGGCCCCTCGGCCCTCCGCGGGGCCGGGAGGCGCCGCCTTCCTCGGAGCCCGGTCGGGGCTGCTGTCTGCGGGCGGCGGAGGAGGAGGAGAGTCGCCAGGTGGAAGGCGCTGCTTCCCCCGGGCTCGTCCTTACCTGCACACCTGGGAAAGGAGCCTCCCTCTGCCCTTGCCCCGTCCTCCCCCCCGCCAGCCCGCCTCCGCGCTTCCACCCGCCGGAGGGATCCCTCGTCCCCCGCTGCGTGCTGGGCCGGAGATTGCTGCTCACTTGTTGCCTGGCACTTCCCCTCTGATGGAGTCTGAGATGCTGCAGTCGCCTCTTCTGGGGCTTGGGGAGGAGGATGAGTCTGACCTGACTGACTGGAACTTGCCTCTGGCCTTCATGAAGAAAAGGCATTGTGAGAAGATCGAAGGCTCCAAGTCTTTGGCTCAGAGCTGGAGGATGAAGGACCGGGTAATGCTCAAGGGCAGGATGGGTTTTGGAGGAGGAGTGGGGGGGACAGGTGGTGAAAAGGGAGGAGTAAGTGCTCAGAGGGCTGCTGCACTTCAAGCAGGAGTCTGTGTTCAGCTGGGTATTTGATCCTATAGTCTAACTTGCCTTTAGTTTGTGTGCCTGTCATATGGTATTACGGGAAGCAAACATGCAGATGGGGCAAAAGTACTAATTCCAAGCTAATGGTAATACACTCTTTGAGTAGCTCCCTCATTTAAGCTTTCTAAATGAAATTTGGGTACTTGGTGTGTTTCAGGAAAGACAATAAAACTAATGAGGTCTTAAAGAGCTCCCTGGATCAGCAGGTTAATGAAGCAAGCACAAGGTGCAATAAACGTAGTCATTACAATTGTCTAGTGGTGAAGATGCAGGGAAGCTTTGTGGTTTTGAAGTTTGCCACCAGCATGTTATGTGGAATATAAAATTAAGACATTAATTTGTGGGGAAACTGAGATTATGTGATTTTGGAGGCAGAAAATAGTTATTAGATGAAGCACTTACTGTATTAAAGCAAGGTGCTTCTCTTTTCTTTGGATCTATTTTGCATATTAAACTGATAAAGCCAAGTGTGTCAAAGAAAGATCCCTGCCAGAGTGTCTTGAATCCTGTGTTGCATCTGTGTCCCAACTTAAATATTTAAGTTAAAAGCGAATAAACAAAGCACCTAAGAAATGCCATGGATAATCAGCTCCCCTCATTCTATTCTTGGAATCTGCTTTGGGTTACGGGATTCCTTAGGTCTCAAAGTTATTTTTCCCATAACTTTGTGTTTATGAATATGTATGAGGTTTTTTTCATGACAAAATTTCTGTTATGTTTATGATCCCTCTTGTAATACTATAGAACAACTTGGGAACTGGTGTTGAAACTCCATCCTGTAATTTCTTTCCAGAGGCATTATGACCAGGCATGCGGATGCTATACGTGAGCCTAAATGTTCCTAGAGGGGTGTTCACCTAAATGGTTATCGTTCTCAGAAGTTCTGGGAAGGCTCTGGCTGAACCAGAATCATTTGACTGAATAGAATTGTGTACTGAAAATTTGACTTGGCAGATCATTAATGGATTGAATTGAGGGGTTTTTTTGGATATAATTTTAAATGAGCCACAGAACACAAAGTTTTGTGGTATGTCTTCTTTAAAGGATTTTGGCAAAGAAGAGATTTTTCTCTAGTAGACTGTGGAGGTGTGATGAGCTTGCTTGTCTATTTTAGTGATCCCTCTGCTTTCCTGTGAAGCTTCCTGCTCACTTATTTCCTAATCTGCAAAGTTGTCTTTTTCTAAATTGGGAATGACATTGACTTGATCAAGATAATCAATAGGTTGTACAGCATAAGCATGAGTAAAGTGGTAGTAATCAGCTGTCTTCTCCGTATTTGTTGTTAAATGTTTCATATGCATGTTCCAGCCGAAGAGAATCATTTCAATGAAGGGGTGAGAGCAGTGGTTACAGTGATCATCGCAGCCCAGCGTCTACCATCCTTACTCCTATGGAGTGGCAGTTTCTTCTTCTGAGTCTTCTGTGCTGTGAATGGTGTGCTTATCATGACATAGTGTGCTACTCGCTGTGAATGAGCTTAGCGAAAT